TCCCGGGCGGGGCGTGGTCCCGGGCCGGGCGTGGTCCCGGGCCCTGAGCGTGCTCGGCGCTCCGTTGAGGCGGCTGTCCAACAGCTGCCTCAGATGGGGAATCTTCCCCCGGCGGTGGAGGAGGGCCAAGTTGGTCCTCCTCCAAAAGGAGGGCAAACTGGAGGATGCCCTTTCCGCTTACAGGCCAATTTGCCTGTTGGACGACGTCGGCAAGATGCTGGAGCGCATCGTTGCGGGCCGCGTCGTCCGGCACCTGTCCCGGGAGGGTCCGAATTTGTCGGACGGACAATTTGGCTTCCATGAGGGAAGATCGATCATTGACGCGATCCTACGCGTCAGGTCCCTCACGGAGGCCGTTGTCAATGGGGAGGGGTTGCGATGGTGGTGTCACTCGACATCACCAATGCCTTCAACTCTCTCCCCTGGGATGTGATCGGGGAGGCCATGAAATGGCACGGCCTCTCCGAGTATTTAATCTCGGTGGTCCGAGATTACTTCCGGGACAGGAAGCTGAAGTTCGTCACGCGAGACGGACTCCGGCGCGGAAGGGGCGTACGGGGTCCCGCAGGGCTCAGTCCTGGGTCCACTCCTGTGGGACCTCGCATATGATGGGTCCTCCGGACCGCCCTCCCCCCCGGCGCGAGTGCCATCTGCTATGCGGATGACACGCTACTCGTCGTCGGGGGCAGGGACTGGGGGGAGACTCTGGCGACGGCCAACGAGGCCGTCGCCGGGGCCGTGCGCAGCATCGCGGGTCTGGGCCTGGAGGTGGCGGCCAACAAAACCAAGGCCATGTTTATTCACGATGGGTCTCGGGGCCCCCCTCCGGAACACGCCCGGATCCGCGTGGGTGCAGCCCGCGTGGGAGTGGGACCCAACTTAAAATACTTGGGTCTTACTCTGGATGGCCGTTGGAGGTTCGGGAGCCACTTCAGGCTCCTGGCCCCCAGGGTGGAGGCGGTGGCAAATGTCTTGTCCCGTCTCCTACCCAACTTGGGTGGTCCGGACGCCCGTGTGAGGCGCCTGTATGCGGGCACGGTGCATTCGGTGGCCCTTTACGGGTCACCAGTGTGGGCGGGCGAACTGGCGCCCAACGCCGGAGGCCTGCGCCTGATGCGTCAGGCGCAAAGACGCGTCGCCCTCCGGCTCGCCAGAGCGTATCGCACCGTGTCCCATACGGCGGCCACGGTCCTGGCAGGGATCCCCCATCGAACTCCTTGCGGAGCTGCACGCCGGAGTGTACCGGAGGGTACGAGAGCTCCGGCAGGGGGAGGGAGCGAGACCAACCCCTAGAGCCATGGGCCAAATTCGAGAGGAGGAGCGGCGGAGGATCCTAAATCGCTGGAGAGACCAGCTAGGGGACCCTTCCGCCGCCGGCGTCCGGACGACAACGGCCATCCAGCCCTGCCTGGCAGCGTGGCTGGGTAGGGCACACGGCGGGCTCACGTTTCGCCTCTCTCAGGTGCTCACCGGGCACGGCTGCTTCGGTGAGTACCTGGAGAGGATCGGGAAGGAGCGCACGGCCAGATGCTGGCACTGTGCGGCCGACCGGGACTCCGCGCAACACACTCTGGAAGAGTGCCCCGCGTGGAGCGGGGAGCGCGGGGTCCTAGTCGCAGTGATCGGCGAAGACCTCTCGCTGCCGGCCATCGTAGACAAGATGGTTGGCGGCGAGGAGGCGTGGAAGGCGGTCTCCTCCTTCTGTGAAGGGGTTCTCCAGCAGAAGAAGGAGGCCGAGCGGCTGAGGCGGAAGAAGGATCTCCCCCACCCAGATGACCGCCAACGACGACGAGGAGGTTCGAGAGGAAGGAGAGGGAGGAGACGTGGTCGAGGCCCGGTTCCCCTCCCGGCGGTGGGAAGCCTGTCACCACCGAGCTGACGAGGGTTGGGAGGGGGAAGAAACTGATTCCTCCCTCCCCTACCCCCTACAGGGAATTATCGGGGGACGTTCGCTCGTTCCCCCCCTAGGGAGGGCAGGTTGCCCCCTCTGGGGCGGAGACTCTCGCCCTCTTGCCCCGAGGGGCAAATAATGGGCCATTGGGCCCCGGGAAGGAGGGGCCTGGAGAATGGAGCGGCTATACGTTGCGCCCCCCCAGACAATACCCCTAACACGGGAGGCCGCAGCGGTGGGGACGGTCGGGGCCTGCTCCAGTTTAAGGAGTGGGCCGGCTGACCCACTTAGATCCCCAATCGTGAGAGAGCGGCAAGAGGTGGTGCGGGTTCGCGCCACCGGGAAGTAGAGCGGGACGGGCGGTGCCCTTGTCCCGCTGTTGGGAGTGAAGGGCCTCTTAAAGAGGCCCGTCTCCCCCGCCTAGGGGAGAGAGAAGGGGGCGCAAAGGCCATGGCGCGGGGTAGTCGAGAAGTGTTCCACTGGAGTTCCTTGGCCACCCCACAGCAGCGCCAGAGAGGGCACCCGTGGGTTTTTAATGGGTAGTGGGGGAGGTATATTCTCCCCTGAGTCCCACACTCCCCCCTGGACAGCTATAAGTCCGGGGGGGGTCAGTGCGTAAAGGCATTTCTCCACGTTAAAAAAAAAAAGGTTAAGGTTCCCTCTCGTGGTGTGCCACCTTGTCGTGAGGTGGCTCCCTGTCCTTATGACCACCTGATGGCAGTACCGGGGTTCTACCCTGGGAAAGCTCGGGTGCGAAGGGTCAGGGTCTAAGCGCACACCGTACGGACCCCTTCCGCTTCGGCGGAGGGGTCTGTACTCTGGGTCCAGTCACCCAGTAGAGTGTCGGATCTCCTTCGGGAGCTCCACACTCAATGGGCCGGTAGGGGATGCGGCGACCCTGACTACAAACGCCCGGCGGTGCGGCGCCGATAGGGGGAGGTCTGCTCCCTGTCCGTAACGACGCGGGTGTTCCCGCAGGCGTGTCGCCGTGTCGCTGGGTGCTCCTGGCGTCATGGCTTGACACATGCCGGGGGAACGGTGCTCCGCCCAGGGGAGGGATTTTCTGGGATGACTGCGGGGCCGCTCGGACGTATTCCGAGGCAGGGTCCGCAGTCTCCCTGTAAGACCGTTGCGTTGATGGGCCGTGAGGCCGCTCGGACGTATTCCGAGGCAGGGCTCACGGTCTAGGGCCACCGGGGCCGCTTGGACGTATTCCAAGGTCTGGGTCCGGTGGTCGGTGTAGTCTTGGGCATCCGCATGGGAAACTAGGGTCGGAGACTCTGCCTTTCTCGGGGGGATGTGAGGAATGACCCGGCCCATAGCCCCATGTGGGTATCGCACCCATGGAGGCACTACGCTTGTCCAGGGCACCGCGACACGGGGATGATGCCGTTGTGTGGACCGGCGGGGCGGATGTTACATCCCCGCACCGCCGGATAGCCCACGTGACAACTCCGGGCAGTCACGTGAGGGGAATACCCACCCCCGGAGCGGCGGACTCACCCTCGATCGGAGAGGGGTCACGGTATGTGTGTTTATATTACGCAACCATGGCCAATACCAATAAAAACTTTTTTAATGTCGTGCCGTCATTGTTTAAGGGCAGTCGCCCCCTAAAGGCGATGTTTGGGGTCTGCAAAGGAACCCCACCACGGGACGGAATCCTCGGCGGGGATTTCCGTGGAGATCCCGGCGAACTTGTCTCCGGATTCGCCGGAATATCAGGAGTTCCTCCGGTTGAGAGGTGGGGGGGGAATATCACGCACCCCCCCTCGGGCACGGCTCCAAAGGAGGATCCCGCCCAGTTGCGGGTTCAACCTCCTCGAAGACCTGGGCGCTTTACGAAGCCCAAGGCTCCAGAGGGGATGAAGTCCCCGG